CCACCTATTAAATCACATATGCGAAAACTTATGAAACAAAGACATTCTACCAGTATTACATCTTAATATAACACGCATTATAAAAATGTTTCAAGAGCTCAGTTCATTTTAGAAGAACAAGCTGGAAATAATTTGTATGTTCACAGTGAGAAAAAGAGTTTCTAAATATCAGAGCAGCATATTTCATGTGCAGTGAGCACGTGGTTGTCTGTAAGCTTAGAACAGAAGTTTATACACCGAAAGATAGTTTGATTGGAAAGCTATTAACAGGTTACAGTTTCTAGGCCCGGTTGTAGCCATCCAAATCTCAGGCTAATGGGCGGAAAATGGAAGGAGATTAGGTAAACTCAACGATTTCCATGTCTTGATGTGACTCATGGGCTCTTGTCTTGTTACTTTGGCAACTGCCAGGACTCCAGACGTTTTCATCCCCTCCCCTTCTACTCATCCTTTAAGGGCAATCTCAGGCACCGCTTCTTCAGAAGTTTTTCCTGAACCCTCAAATGTACCTCAGCTACATGAAAGGTTGGACTGAGGTCCCTTCTCTGTGCTTCTATAAAACCTGGTATAGATCTCTAACATTCATTTTCATTATTCAGCCTACTACTATATTGAACTGTGTTATTGGCCCATAGTCTTTCTCATTCAATGAATTGTGAGCTCCTTGAGAAAAGGAACTAGGTTTAATTCATTTGTGGATCCCCATAGTCTTGCATAGTGCATGGCATAAGTGATGTGCTTAAGAATTGCTAGCTAATCTACGACAAACCCACAGATAGCATATTGCTAAATGGTCAGAAATTCGAATCATTTCCTCTGAAAACTGGAACAAGACAAGGTTAACCATTCTCACCCCTCTTGTTCAATATTGTGTTGGAAGCCCTAGCTCAGGCAATTAGACAAGAAATTAGAAATTAGAAATCAGGGGTATCCAAACAGGAAAAGAGGAAGTCAAGTTATCCCTCTTTGCTGAGGATATGATTCTATACCTTGAAAATCCAAGAGAATCTGTCAAAACCCTGCTTGCACTGATAAAGGACTTTGGGAAGGTCTTGGAGTACAAAATAAATGTGCAAAAGACAGTTGCATTTCTCTACACCAACAACAAGCAGGCAGAGACCCAGATTAAAAGCATAATTTCATTCACAATAACCACCAAAAAAATGAAATACCTCGGCATCTTCCTAACCAGAGAAGTGAAAGACCTTTACAATGAGAGCTACAAAACACGGCTCAAAGAAATCCAAGAAGACACAAACAAATGGAAAAATATCCCATGATCATGGATAGAAAGAATCAACATTGTTAAGATGTCCATCCTAACAAAGGCAATCTACAGATTCAACGCAATGCCCATTAAGGTACCGACATAATTCTTCTCAGACCTGGAAATGACAATACAGAAATTTATATGGAAACATAAACGACCACGAATAGCCAGAACAATCCTCTGCAAAAGAAACCAAGCAGGAGGTATCACACTTCCAGACATCAAACTAAATTATAAGGTTACAGTAATCAAAACAACCTGGTTTTGGTACAAGAACAGGCACATAGACCAATGGAACAGGATAGATTCCGGAAGCAAAGCCTCAATTCTTCAACCAACTCATCTTTGACAAAGCCCCCAATAGCAACCACTGGGGAGAGGAGAACCTATTCCAATGATGCTGGGAAAACTGGCTGAACACATGCAGAAGATTGAAACAAGATTCCTACCTATCACCGTACACAAAAATTAACTCTAAATGGATCAAAGACCTAAACGTAAAACCTCAAACTGTAAGAACCTTAGAAAATGCAGGAAACACTCTTATGGAAGTTGGAACTGGCAACTGATTCCTGATCAAAACCTGAAGTGCCCAAGCCATAAGAGATAAGATAGACAAGTGGGACCTCATTAAACTGACAAGCTTCTGCAAAGCCAAAGAAGCCATCAAGAGAGCAGGGAGACAGCCCACAGAATGGGAAAAAATATTTGCCAACTGTTTATCTGCCAAAAGCCTAACATCTAGGATCCAGAAGGAACTCAAAAGCACCAAAAGGAAAAACACAAACAGTCCCTTTAGAAAGTGGGCAAAAGATATGAATAGACACTTCTCAAAAGAAGATATGCGGGCGGCCAGCAGACACATGAAAAAGTGCTCAGCCTCACTCATCATTAAAGAAATGCAAATCAAAACAACATTGAGATACCACCTAATCCCTGTAAGAATGACCATCATTAATAAAACAAACAGATGCTGGCAAGGATGTGGAGAAAAAGGAACACTACTACACTGCTGGTGGGAATGCAGACTAATACAACCTCTTTGGAAGACAGTGTGGCAATTTCTGAAGGAACTAGAAATTGACCTTCCATATGACCCAACAATTCCCCTATTGGGAATGCACCCAGAGGAACACAAATCATTCTATAAAATAGATACCTGCACACATATATTTGTTGCAGCTCAATTCACAATAGCAAAAACATGGAACCAACCATGTTGCCCATCGAAGCTGGACTGGATGAAAAAAAATGTGGTACATACACACAATGGAATCTTATGCAGCCATAAAGAAGGACAAATATATGGTCTTTGTAAAATTGGATGGATTTGGAGTTGATCATACTCAGTGATTTATCACAAAAACAAAGAAATGAGTTCCGTATGTTCTCACTTATAAGGTGACCTTAAACAAATATAATGCTCTAAGAAAGTAATTGGCAGTAGCGGAAAACTGTCAGGGGAAGGAGGGGTGGGACTGGCAGTTGGGGAAAACTGCTAATGGAGGGAGGGACATACCTCATCAACAAGGGTACCTGCATGATCAATGTTTGTATATCTAACCCTGAATTGTAACCTACATCTTTATAACAAATAAATATTTTTTTAAAAAAAGAATTGTTGGCTAAATGAATGGATGGATGGATGGATGACAGCAGTAACAGGTATTTACTATTAAAATGGATGGCATCATTGGATCTCCTCCATGCATTATAATTTGGTTAGAAACTGTGATGAGAGTCCAGGCACTGTGATTCACACTTGTAATCCCAGCACTTTGGAAGGCTGAACTGGGAAGATCACTGAGGCCAGGAGTGCCAAGCTGCAGTGAGTCAAGATTGTACCACCACACTCCAGCCTGGGTGACAGAGCAAGTCTCAAAGAAAAGAGGGAAAAACCATGATGAGACTTAACTGTTCCAAGGAAGAAAGTGGTGTGAGGAATGTATTCCTTGTACATTTGTGGAGTATCTTCATAATTAACCCTTTGGTTTAGGTCATTCTCTCCACCCCCGTTACTCTGAGAATAGTAGGGAAATTGGGGGAAAATAAAACATAATTTGTAAAGTCCATTCAGTAGATATTTACTGGGCATCTACTATCTAAGGTGCTGTGTGTCCTAGGCAGACCCAGGTTCTACCTTCAAGGACACTATGACTTAGATATTTAAGAATCTCATGTAAAATACAAAAGTAATACATGACATTAAAGAGATCAGTGTTTACTAAAATGAAAGAAAATGTAATAAGGACCATAGAAGAGTTACAGATGACAGAGATAAATTAGTTGGATTCCTAAGGAGTCCTCTTTGGTCAGGAGAGTTAGGTTAGATCATTATGTCTCATAATCTGCTCTCAGGTATAAAGACCTTGGACCCAACTATGGTCAGATCCAAGGAGATTGGCATACACACACACACACACACACACACACACACACACACACCAAGCTTACTGGAACCAAAGGTCAATGACTAAGCAAACTGGATAATTCGTTATGATTTAAACTTGGGCTCAGAGTAAAGTGAGCTAGGTGGTACTTGAGATGCTTCAGCCTCACAAGGCAAATGTGCAAGCCAGACTTCCAATACAGGCTTTTTCTCCAAGAACAAAGACCAGATCCAATATTTCCCTTTCTTAGAGAGTACAGGATAGAAGATCTGGTGGAAAAATGTATATGCCACAAATGGTAACTATTATGAGATTTCAGAAGGTTAAAAGATAGGGACTTCTCTGAAACTATTCTGGTCTGGGGCTGCCTGATTTTTTAAAAAATGGCATTCAGATGTAATGATCAAAGGAAGCTTTATGGAAGAAATGGTATTCCAGCAAAGTCTCTGAGATTGCTTAGAGTCTTGAAAGCCAGTTATGATGTTTAAGTATTCTTCTTTGGGTAATGGGGAGTCGTAACAGAAAAAATCGTGATTAGAACTGTGCTCCAGTGAGTGGATTGCCTGATCCTGCGGATTCGAGACCCGCCTGGGCAACTTGGCGAGACCTCATCTCTACAATAAATCAAAAAATCAGCTGGGTGTAGTAGCGTGCATCTGTAGTTCCAGCTACTTGGAAGGCTGAGGTGGAAGAATCGCCGCCCAGCAGGTCGAGGCTGCAGTGGGGCCACTGCACTCCAGTCTGGGTGACAGAGCGAGACTCTAACTCAAAAAAAAAAAAACAAAAAAGAACTATGCTCTGAAAAAATTAACTTGATTGCAGTTTGAGAGTTGGCTTGAAGGAGTGAATCCTAGCTCTTAGGAAGTTACAGATTTCACATGGGAGGATTGAAATTAGAATAGTATCAGTATGGGTGGAGCAGAGCCAGAAGGGCACAAGACAAGAAGTGCCATGGTGTTTTCTTTGCACACGCATACTACACACATTCACACACACTCCAAAGCAAAATATAATCTATAACTTTATAACCCAAATGTAACATAAAAGAAAATTTCTCTCAATTTCTATGAATTTCTCCACTTAAAAAGAACAAAAGATTGAAAGTCATTGATTTATTAATCCAATTTTTTTGATTTTTAAATTATCTAAATTATCATATTTGTTAAAAATGAGATTTCCAAAGCATCAACGTAGCAGGTATCTATACCTACAGGGACAGTTTAAGGGAAAAGAAAAAATATTATACATAAGTAAATGTTATTTTCTCCCAAGATGTCTAGATGATTTCTCCAAATAGACTCTTTCAAACATTTTCTAATATTAGCTAACCCAACTAATAGGAGTGTTGCAGAAAACAGAAACAGGAGCTTTGTGAGAAGTTTGATTACCTATATGGCATTCTGGAGAAGAGGAAGAATGAAATGACTCAAGTCATTACCCGTACCCAGGAGGAAAAACTGGAACGTGTCCGTGCTCTGATAAAAAAGTATTCTGATCATTTGGAGAATGTATCAAAGTTGGTTGAATCAGGAATCCAGTTCATGGATGAGCCAGAAATGGCAGTGTTTCTTCAGGTAAGTCGCTTCTTGACACCAAAAAAACAAACCCCAAAGGTAAGTGGTGGAAAATTAGCTGCTATCATATTTTCATTATTTTATGTACATTTCATTTTTTATTTATTGACTGACTGAAATATAAACCCCCGTTAATTTATATATTCATCTATTAAAACAATTTAGTAAAAATATGCCTTTGGCATTGCTTAAATCTAAGAGAGTTCTGACATGAAACAGCAGTTATTTGTGATATTTTAGAAACTAAGCTATGAGATTCTCAGAGTTAACAGAGGAAAGAGTTAAGTCTTACCACTGTGTTTATTGAATATATTTTAAATAAGCTTATCTTTTGTTTGCTTTCACAGAATGCCAAAACCCTGTTACAAAAGTAAGCAATTTCTATTTTATGGAAAAAATGCATATTTTCACTTTTACTCAAGGTTATCACGTTTTAAGCAGTGACAGAAAGTGGCAACTTGTCTTTGTTGCAGAATCTCTGAAGCTTCGAAGGCATTTCAGATGGAAAAAATAGAACATGGCTATGAAAACATGAACCACTTCACAGTCAACCTCAATAGAGAAGAAAAAATTATACGTGAAATTGATTTTTACAGAGGTTTGTTATTCTTTTGACAATTTGCCTAAAGTTGCAGGTGTGTGAATGCTGCAGAAGGGTTGGGTGGGAGGAAAGGGCATTCAGAATCGCCTCCAGAATCGATGTTGACAACTTTACAAGGCTCATAATCTAATGTGAAGTTCTATTTCATTACAGGATGATATAGTTTGTTGACAGTGATTACTTAGTTTTGCATATCGTAATGCCTATTTTAATGCCACATCAAGAATTTGACTCTGAATAGTCAAATAGTTACTAACTGATGGTGATAATGATGCCTCAACTTCAACCCTACACAAAGTGTTGGCCACGATGATTTAAAGTGCTGTCAGGAGCAAGGTTTAGGATGAGATTAAAAACAAAACACAGGAGACATCGGGGATAGATATTGTAGCACCTTCATTTAATAAAACTTTAAAGGGCAGAAATAGTAACAAGTCATAGAGTAAGTCACAACCTAGAAATTAAACTGGGTCTATGTGACTAGATGTACTCCGTGAGCTATAAACACATCTTTACCCTTTGGCCCAAAAATCTCACTCCTGGAAATTTACCCAAATGGAATAATTGAAAAGAGAAATTAACCTTGAAGCTGATCAAAACTTTGATCATCTTGACTCATCCTAGCCCATTTAGATGACCACCTCCCTCGGCTAGACTACTAAAAATGCCATGAGGTTGCACCAGTGCCTACAGACATAATTTTAAAGGAAAATCATCAGGATGAACCATTTTGTAATGACTTAATTTTGTCTGTCCTTCATGTTCCTTGAGGGAATATTAAAATCAGTGGGTCAACAAAAGAGCCATAACATTAATTGTGGCAAAAGTCAGTATTCACTGAACAAAGAATGTAAGAAATTAAAGAAAGGGTTTTGTATGTTTTCTGAGATGGGGAAGAGAGTTGCACTTAGATTTGACTTGACAGTGATAAATAAGTGACAATCCCAGTCATCCAGGAGCTTGCAAACTGTGACAAAACTGTGAACAGATTCTGTAGGGTAAGATGGATGGTGCACAGTGGAGGTGAGGACTTTGTGCTGGGGATGAGAGCAGGGAGAATGGGCTAGTTCCTTCACATTTGTCCTGTCCACATTTCAGTAGAAGCACACAGCTTAGTTGGACCATTGTCAGGTGTCTGTTGGCGAGGACTTCTCTGGTCCAGACATGAGCCTAGACTATAAGTACTGACCGTTAACGATTTCTGCTGCATAGTTGTAACAATTTAAAAGATACCTTACCTTATCAGAGGATGAGGATGAAGGTGAAGAAGAAGAAGAAGGAGGAGAAGGAGAAGAAGGAGAAAGAGAAGGAGAAGGAGAAGGGGAGAGAGGAGCACTAGAAGTGGAAGAGGTAGAAAACGTTCAAACAGAATCTCCAGGAGAAGAAGAACGCACAGAAAAAGTCTTGGAGCCCTGTCAACTGGCTTCCCCTGAGGCACTTTCAGTTTCCTCACTAGAGTCACCTCCAGCCCTGCCAACTGCCCCGGTGACACAGGTAACTGCTCATGAGTCTCTTCCTATAAGACACACAGCCTAAACAATTTATTCTACTTAAAGAAAAAGATAACTGTATGCCAGACGTTTGTATGTGACACACAAAAGATTTCAAGACAGTCACAATGTTGGGGAGAAAAATCCTCTAGGTGACTCAACAGGTTCATTGTTGTTATAGTTTGTTGGCAAAGCTTAATTTAATACAATTTTTTCATCAATAATACCCCAAATCTCAACCATCTTTGTCTGGAAACTTTGTGTGTATGAGTGTGTAACATGTTAATTCATAGAGAGCAAGTATCATGGAGATTGTTACTTAGTAAATACAGATATGGGGTATAGGATGAAAAAGGACATAGGGTAAGAAATAAAAGTGGTTATGCTTTCTTTGAGCTTTGAGCTTTCTGTAGAAAATAGAGGAAATAAATAGAGAAACTACACTAACTTATGTTCCAGTTGCTGAACTACAACTTGTATATCTTTCCATCAGTGGACTACCGAATGAAACCTGGTTTTCTGTGGATTTGTCATTTGATAATATTGTGTGTTGACAGAATTGTTTAAAACATATTTTAGGAAATCTCAGGTGCTGCACCTAATTGGCTGACCTCATGTTTCTAAGGTGTCACTGTCCAGTGTTTAAACCTTCGTGCTGACTCCATATGTTAGCAGACAGGATCCCAAACTGTTGAGTTTGTGGATAGTGCAGACTCATCAGAGAGGCGTCGTAGCTTTGTACCTGGTTTCAGAGTGGTTTGAAATCATTTGTAGAAACAAAACCCAGAGATGAAATTATATTTCTGGTCTCCTCAGGAAACCAGGCTAAAATGTTATTTATAGTTTCTAAAATCTTGAAACGCTGGGCATACCAATTGCATTGAAATTAAAAGAGGTATAGTAACTAAATGAGGGTTGGACTTGATCAATGAGATCAATTTTTGTGTTTTAAAAAGAGGTTTGTGGTGCCTACATATAATGCCAAAAAAAAAAAGTTCTGGGCAATAGTTGGGCCCTGCCATATCTGATATCTTAAAAGCCATTTGCACTTGAGGCTTCTGTTCTACTCACCCAGGCTTCCACCTGGTGAAAGAAAAGAAAAGTACAGAGGAGAAGAGTGTGCATATCCAGATGCCAAACAGTGGGGTACTGTTGTCAACATTCTGCGCTTAGTGCTTCCATAGGGTGGGATGAAACAAAACACCCACTAAGTCAGACACTGCACACGGGGAGCTCGCAGTGTTCAAACCCAAAGGAAATGAAAATCAACTGCTTTTATTTTTCTTCTTCTTCTTTTTTTTTTTTTACTTTGGAATTTATCTGTCCTGATTAAGGGGGAGGTTGTGTCCACTGGCTCTCAGCAGAGCACAGAGTCTGAAACTCCAGTTCCTGCAGCAGCGGAAACTGCGGATCCCTTGTTTTACCCTAGTTGGTATAAAGGCCAAACCCGGAAAGCCACCACCAACCCACCTTGCACCCCAGGGAGCGAAGGTCCGGGGCAAATAGGGCCTCCAGGTTCTGAGGATTCGAATGTGCAGAAGGCAGAAGTGGTGGGAGCCGCAACCAGTGAGAGGGCAGCAGTGAGTGGTAAGGAAACTAGTGCACCTGCAGCTACTTCTCAGGTTAGTGTTGATGCACCCATGTCTGAATGCTTTCCCATGCCCCCTAGGGTCCCACTGGCATAGCCCACAGCAAAAAAAAAGAGGGCTTTCAAAGGGGCAGAGAGAAACTGCAGCCAGGAGAAAAATACAGAAACAACTCAACCCCATATGTTGGCTTGTGTTTTTTTGTTTGTTTTGTTTTAATCTTATGTAAAAGAAAACACAAAACAAAACAGATTTGACTTCACTCTGCCCGTGTGTGGTGACCTCACACCTGGCTTCCCAGGGGAGGAGTACAAGTGAGCCTGGCCCTGTGGCATGCCGTTGAGCGCTACTTCGTCTGCAGTGAATGCTGTGTCCCTGGTCTTCCTTTGCAACGGCCATTGCCCTTGCTCAACTTTCCCTGCGTCCTCCCTGGGCTTCCAAAGACTAATCACCTGCTTTCGTGTTGTTCCCAGCAACTCCCAAGGAGTACATTTGAATTGAGTTTTAAGTCTGCTCTGGAAAATAACCTCTGATTCGTGGATTCTGGGAGTGTGCTGGCTACGGCTGGACAAAGATGGTCTTGGCTTGATTAAATCTGTGCTTCCTAAGCATGCGTTCCTGGGAGCCGAGAAGCACAGGTTTTCCTCCATGGAGATTTTTTTTAAAAGAGACTCGATACCTTGTTTTCTTTATATAGTGAGAGTTTGAAGTCCACATCTCCCTAACACTTGGTTAGAAGTTTGCATGTCTCAGAGAGTCCCTAGAAGAAATCTTTTTCCATTTCTTCTCAAGGAAGAATGTTCATGGTTATTCATGAGCATTCTTAAATGATGTGTGAAGTGTGAATGTTGCCAAGACTAGAGGCTGTCAAAGAAGCACTCTAATTCCACGCTCCTGGGTCATCAGGTGATTATGAACCACAAACTATTTTTTCATATATCAAAAAATGACATACTGGCTGGGCACAGTGGCTCATGCCTGTAATACCAGTGCTTTGGGAGACTGAGGTAGTAGGATTGCTTGAGCCTAGAAGTTCGAGACCAGCCTAGGCAACATAGTGAGACACTGTCTCTACAAAAAAATAAAAAATAAAAAAATTAGCCAGACGTAGTGGCATATGCCTGTAATCCCAGCTCTTTGGGAGGCTGAGGCAAGAGGATCACTTAAGCTCAGGAGTTTGAGGCTGTGATGAGTCATGATCATGCCACTGCACTCCAACCTGGGTGACAGAGTAAGACTCTGACAGCAACAACAACAACAACAAAAACTATTATCTTGATTGTATCTGCTCAAGTGGACCTTAGTTTCATGAGGTCATAAAAAGAAATTAATTTTGGAAAATTAAAAGTAACACAACTTGGGGTCCGATATTTATATTCATGGATGAAAAGTTGACAAAGATAAATGGAGTGAGGAAATCTTTTGAGGTGGTTTTAGGTAAAAGATGAAGTAGACTTTTTCTAGAAAATTTGTGGGAGTTTTTACATATGTAGTGAAAGTTGAGTGTAGAGGAACTGGTTCCTGAAAAAAAGTAGTATAATACCCCACAAGGAGCATGTAGTAGGGCTCCATAACAAAATAAAGAGTTCATCTAGATGATGCTGAAAAAAATGATTTGTGATAACATCAGTGAAGCTTTCTTCTTGTTTTCTCACAGGAGTTAGCAATCTGCCTAGCACTTTTGGCTTTTCTTATACTTCACTACATCTGGAGTCAGATTCAGTGCTTGATTTTTACTCTAATGGGTAGGAAATATTTTCTTTTCCCTTGACTAACATCTTATATAGTTTCTTCCATAATATTCCTCCTCTGTAGGCCCAGAGATGAATTTCTCCCCAAACCTTGAGGCTCAGTCATCTAAAAAGAATGTATTCATAGATAATACTCAAGGCCTCAAGCTCCCTACGATGCAATCACCTCAAGGCACCTTCCTGAGGAGAATTGCTCCATTACCTATTCCTGCGTGGAGGGGAACCCTGACTCAGAACAGTGACTCAGTGGGCAATTATTCAGTAATCCGGTAGGAGTGAACCCTCCAGAATGGTATTAGGGGAGACCAGTTTCAAAGGGTGTCCATAATGCCATGAGGACTCACTGCTCATAAAGCAGAAGGAGAAGCAGCAAAGGACTGATCCAGGACAGCACAGGCTTTCATAAATTAAGTGGCAGCATTTTGTCTGCTTATGCCAGAGATGCCCAGGAGGGGGCCATTATGACTCCCGTCAATGATGTCGCTAGCAGTTTCCACGTGGGTGAGCAGATGGGTTCTTTTAGAACCCTCAGACTATGATGTTTCTCTCACGAGAGGGGTTCCCTGAGAGAAAGATGCCCTGGGTGTAGAGACTTGGACGAATAGAGCCAGAAAATCAATGTGTACTTACCAGCCATAATGAATTAGAGCCAAAGAAAAGCCATAAAGTCACAAACTTTTTAAGTCTCCTTTCTCATAGTCAAGCCTTTGCTTGATTACTGTTGTGAGGTTTGTTTTGGGACTCATATCTTACTCCCTTAATAGCCTTTTGAATTTAATTAATAATATTTTTCAGTTTGATTACTAATATTTAAAGATTTAAACCCACATGCACTTTTGAGCAAATGACCCTACTGGGCCTGAGACTCAACTCCCTGTTCCTGCAGTCCAGAAGCAGTTCAGGACTAATGGTGCCGAAAAACCTCCACTATTTCTGGCTCACTGACTTTTCCCTGGGTTGGCACTGACTCTTCCAGAAGCTCCCACCATAGGCTTCCTTTCTGCCTCATTAGCCGTCTGCTCAATAATGGTGGTGGGATCTCCATGGGTCCCTGCTGTGTCTCTAACTGTGTGAGCAGGGCCTGCCCCCAATGTCTAACAGTCAGTCAGAAACCTGTGCACCCCAGAGTATTCTGAGTGTCCTTACCGTCTGCTCAGCTGCCTGACTCCTCCTCCAGACATTATTTGTGGTAAAAAGCAATGGGAGGAAATACTGGCCATGGACTCAGTGAGGCAAACGGGGAGAGAGAAAACCTCGTGCTTTAATTGGAACCAGGATCTAATTGTGGATCTGAATAATTGTCTAAAGGGTTCCATTTACATTCTGAGATTCAATTTGGGGCTTTGTCACCATATAGAGTATATCCTTACAATGCTTCTCTGAGGCTGCAGGGGGAGTGTTATGCTTCATGGATGTCATCCCTCAGCCCATGCCATGTATGCTGATAGTCACACGCCTGCCTAGGGAGACGAGGGTATGGCAGGTGGAGCAGGTGAGGAAGGGGACTGACATTCAGTATTGCCAAGAAATTTGCTTGTGTTCTCGGTGTTTGAAGAAGGGTGTTTTACACAGAGAAGGAAACCTGCTCATAAAGGAATGCCACTCTTTATTCCCTGAAATGAGATAGGGCCCGTCGATGGAAACCTCACATAGTAGCAGGCCAGATTCACCTTTGCCACCTCAGAACCTAGGCAACCAGATTAATATTTGTCCAGTTCAAGGTTAGATTGTTGGTATTTCACATGTTATCATTAGTCTTACCTTGAACATTTAGACTATGATACAAGAGTTCTCCTTGATTCACTGGTGGTCCTACCCTTCCTGACTAGATGGTCCCATGCCCGAGCATGATGTTGCCTTAGAAACCTAAAAGTATCTCAGGCTCACTTGCTGATCTATAAACTCACTTCAGCTCCCATCAGCTGAATGGTAAACCTTTCAGGAAGGCAAATGGTCCATTCCCAGGTGTTCTTCTCACTTCCATTCACACAGTGAAAATTGCCCTTGATTTTGTTACTGGACAATCTCTATCATGAACCTTTTCTCCTTGCCCAAGCACATTGACAAAAAACTGGTCATGGTAAAAACCCGACATCAGCTCCCTCTAGCAGTGAGGGACAGGACTTCTTGTTAGATCAGAGGAGCATTTTTGCCTTCCCCACTTGCATTATCTAAGAAAAAAAATCAAGTTTTGGATTCAGCCCTGTGGTGAATTTGAATGTCATAAAAAGCCCCACTTTCCATCCATCCTTCTGTCAGATACACCTAGAGCCTTGTCATATCCCCCATTCCTTTCAGAAAATTGTGTAAAACCCCTATACACGAACTGGTCTTTAGCTACAGCATCGCCTTCTAATTTCCACCCTTCTGAGTCATCCTTGCTGTATGCTCAGTCAGTACAGAGTTTGGTATAAGTAACGACTGATTTACTTCAGTTATTAATTTTTGAATTTATTTTGAAAAAAATTGCACCATACCCTAGTCAACCTGAGAAAGCAACATAATAATAAGATGGGAGAAGAACACTACAAGACAGGTTGGCTGTCCTTGGAAAGCAGTTTCTGTGAGGCCTTATCTCTTGGGTATGCCTTATTGTATCCATTCCCGGTTCATTCTGCTACCCTTCCCTGCTCTTCTCGTTCCTGCACACTCACATGCAAATTGCACTGAGTGTTGACACAGGGATCACTCCTACCCCTCACTCCCTCTCCATGGGCAGTTGGGCATTTTGGGGAGTCTGTGTGGCAATTAAATTTTTACAGAAGTAGGAGCAGCAGCAATGAAAGCTCCCTCCTGGTTTCCCCTCCTCCCTTCCCAATGCAGCTTAGTGGTCTCTTGCAGAAAAATTTGCCCAAACCATTTAATGGGAGCTGCGTAGAGAACAGGAGTTTCCAGATAAATGTCTCCCTATTTATTTGGTGGATTAACTCAGCAGCTGTTCTGTCTGATACTTGAGCTGAACGTGGCAGTTGCTTCAAGGTCAGAGGATCCTGCAACACACACACACACACACACACACACACACACACACACACACGAGCCAACAATTACTTTGGAGATGGGGACCTTGGCATTGAAATCTCTGCAATTTCTGCCTCCATTAAAAAAAAAAACAAAAAAACACAGCTCACGTTTTTCTCCAGGGCTTGAAGTTGTAGTGGTAAGAAACCCTAAAAACTTTACTATAGCACAGCTATTTGTTGTTTCAAGAATAGAGTATCCACTTTCCACATTCCATTCTTCAAGCCTGAAAATTGACTAACAAGCTGAATAGAAATTCCACCA